GGGGTATGGGCAGGGAGGGAGGGAGGCTGTGGGGTGAAAAGTGGCACAGGAGCCCGTGGAATCAGACGCCAAGGAGGTGTCTGGGCCCAGGCACAGACGAGGGGGCAGCCGTGCGCCCACCCTGTGTGCCCTAGCCCACCCGCCTTCACCCATCCCAGGCACCCGGCACGAGAGAGGGAGGCCGGAAGTAACTGTGCACTGAACAGAGAACAAAGGAATGGATGGGTGGATGGATTAATGAATGAATGAACAAGGGCTAGCCACTGTCTGGGCATGACAGGTGGAGCCTGCCTCTGTAGCATCGTCCCTTCCCTGGAGACAGTAATGCTGCTCCAGGAGCTGAGGTGTGGCGGGACGCCGGTGTTTGTGCTCAGAGTCCCTGGCTGAGTGCAGCTCGGGCTGGCGCTCCTGGTTGTGCCGCAGGGAGTTGAAAATGTTGGCCCTGCCAGGCCCCAGTGGCTCACACCTGTCATCCTAGCTCCTCAAGAGGCTGAGATCTGAGGATCAAAGTTCAAAGCCAGCCCAGGCAGGAAAGTCTGTGAGCTGCTTATCTCCAATTAACCAACAGAAAAAAAAACCAGAAGTGGTAGAGCGTTCACCTTGCGCGCAGAAGCTCAGGGACCGTACCTAGGCCTTGAGTTTAAGCCCTACAACCAAAGAGTGGGAGGGGCAGAGAAAGAAGGAAGGAAGGAAGGGGGAAATGCCAGCTTGCGTCAGGGCCCCAGTGACACAAGATGGGCCCTGGGAGTCACTGCAGCGTCAGGTCTGGCTTGTTCCAGGGTCCACAGGCTACTGTGGATTGCATGGTTTGGGGTTCCTTAACCACTAGCCTGTGGCCTAGGGGGCCTCTGCTCAGTCTTCAGGTCACCCCTGCTTTCCCGGCCCCCTCCTTGGAGTCTCCTGGGAGGGGCCCAGGGTCCCGTGAAGGGAGTGGGGTGAAGGGCAGGAGAGGAAGAGGCCTCTGGTCAGGCTGGGATGGAGGTCGCCGCTTTCCCAGCCCCCTGGAGCTCCTGACATCTGTTCCAGATCCCGGGCTTCAGCTGAGCCTTCCTGTCTGGGATGAAAGGCCGCAGCAGGGTCTGGCGGCTCCCAGCCCTCCACAGGGCCTAGCAAAGCCGCCAGGGCTGGGGCCGGAGGGCAGGGGTGGGAGGGAGAGGGGAGTGGAGGGGGGTGAGGCAGGGGCGGCCGTGGGGTAGACACTCACAATCATCCAAGGGACAGAACCACGCTGTTTGCTTGCTGGGACAGCAGCCCAACCTGTCAGCTTCGGTGCTTATACAGGTGGAGAAACTGAGGCTCTGGGGATGAGATCAGCAGTCCGGGGGTGCAGGGCCCCTGGGTCAGGCTGGCCTGAGCTTTCCTGCCTCTTCCCTGGGAAGAGCTCTGGTCTCTTTGGCTCTTTTATATATTTATTTGGGTGCTGGTCCCGGGGCTTGAACTCAGGACCTAGGCACTATTTCTAAGCATCTTTCGCTCAAGGCTAGGGCTCTGCCACTTGAGCCACGGCTCCACGTTGGCTTTTTTTGGTAGTGTATTGGAGATAAGCCTCTCGCAGACTTTCCTGCCCTGGGCTGGCTTTGAACCGCGATTCTCAGATCTCAGCCTCCTGAGTAGCTAGGACAGGCATGAGCCACCGGCGCCCGGCTTTTACGGTGGCTCTCAGGGCACAGAGTCCCCTCCTTCCCTCTGTGACCTGAGAAGAACACCCAAATGAGTTCTGAGCTTCCCCCCCTCCTAACTCCGACCTGGGGTGGGGCCGTGAGCCCTCCAGGGCCTGAGGCCACCTGCGGACCTGGACGGCCTGAGGCTTGGGCTCTGCAGGCACACGTCGGGGTTCACCAGCCTTGTCGGGGGCTCTCGCTGAGGCCTGTGGCAGATCAGGGCTGAGAAAAGAGGCCACGAGGCCACTCAGGGACCCACAGGGTCCCTGTGGCCCCCGCGGAGGGAACAAGAAGACAATGGTAACCAGCCACAGCAAGGAGCCAGGTCTGGGTGGGCCGGATGTTGGGGGGACGCTGCCGGCCTGGGAGGAACCGGGGACCAGCTGGGTCTCCTGAGCTTTGGCTCCATTGTGCTTTCCTGTGGGTGGCAGCCATGTTTGCCTTGGCTAGGGCTGGAGCTGGGGGGGGAGGGAGGGGGGTCAACTCCTCCTTCTTTCTCCCTGGGGACTCTAGCTGGAACACTGGGGCCCAGACAGGTCAAGGGTCAAGGCAACAGCCTCGGGCGGCCTCCACCCACCCCCAGAAGTGGCCCATCGGGGGTCCCTGGAGCCAGCTGGCCTTGACTCCCTACTCTGGAGGGCCGTCCAGGGCTGGCCCAGCAGGAGCTGGGATTCGATGGTGTTGCCCGTCTGGGCCTCAGGGTCACCCCCATCCACCTCGCCTCTGTTCCAGCCGCAGCCCCTGCCTGGAGCAGGCCCCAGCTCTAGACCCTCACTCTGCACGAGCCCCCCCCCCACATGCTTTCCCTGCTGCTGACTCGCCTCCTCTCCCCGCCTGATAGCCCCTGCAGCGTGCCAGTGCGCGACCAAGCCCCAGGCCAAGGCGAAGGACACACAGCTGTCTGCCCGCCACTCCAGGAAGCCCTCGGCCTCCGCCGAGACTGAGCGGAGGGCTGCGCCGCCCCCACCCCCCAACCTCCTCCGTCAAGGCCGTGAGGTTTGCTTCTCCATCCTCCAGCTCCCAGCTTGTGGGGCTGTTTACACAGCTGCCCCCCAAAAGTCAGCCCAGGGCCCCCTGCACAGGTTGCTGGAGCAGCAGAGAAAAGGGAATCACGGCTCCAGTTCAGCCTGGAGCCTGGTGCTGTTCAAAGCACTTTGTGAAAGCCGGGCGCTGGTGGCTCACGCCTGTAATCCTCGCTACTCAGGAGGCTGAGATCTGAGGATCATGGTTCAAAGCCAGCCCGGGCAGGAGAGACCGTGAGACTCCTATCTCCAATAAACCACCAGAAAACCGGAAGTGGCGCTGTAGCTCAAGTGGTAGAGCGCTCGCCTTGAGCTGAAGAGCTGAGGGACAGCGCCCAGGCCCAGAGTTCAAGCCCCACAACTGACAAAAAAAAAAAAGCACTTTGTGGGCCTTTGCATATATGTATGTGTGTACATATATATTTTAGCAATCCTGAGATTTGAACTCAGGGCCTTGTGCTTGCTGGGCGGGCACTCTACCACTTCAGCCACATTCCTTGCCCTTTTTTTGTTTTGTTTCCTTTTGTCATTTTTCAAATAAGGTCTCATGTTTTCACCCAGGCCAGCCTGGACCTCAATTTTTTAATTTAATTTTACTTTTTGCCAATCGTGGGGCTTGAACTCTGGGCCTGGGTGCTGTCCTTGCGCTCTTCAGCTCAAGGCAAGCGTTCTACCACTTGAGCCACAGTACCACTTCCAGTTTTCTGGTGGTTTATTGAAGAGAGTCTCATGGACTTTCCTGCCCAAGCTGGCTTTGAACCATAATCCTCAGATCTCAGCCTCCTGAGTAGGATTACAGGCATGAGCCACAGGCACCTGGCTTGGACCTCAATTTTCTTTCCTTTTCTTTCTTTCTTTCTTTTTTTTCTTTTCTTTTCTTTTTTTTTGGGGGGGGGTCTGGTCGTGGGCCTGAACTCTGGGCATGGGCGCTGCGCTGTCCCTCAGCTCTTCAGCTCAAGGCTAGTGCTCTACCACTTGAGCCACAGCTCCACTTCCAGCTTTTTTCTTTTTACTTATGTGTTGCTGAGGAATCGAACCCAGGGACTCATGCATACAAGGCAAGCGCTCTACCACTGAACCACCTTCCCAGCCCCTTTTCTTTTCTTTTTTCTTTTCTTCCTTCCTTCCTTTCTTTTTTGTCAGTTGTAGGGCTTGAATTCTGGGCTTGGGTGCTGTCCCTGCGCTCTTCAGCTCAAGGCAAGCCCTCTACTGCTTGAGCCACAGTGCCACTTCTGATTTTTTAGTGGTTTATTGGAGATAAGACTCTTACGAGGACTTTTCTGCCTGGGCTGGCTTTGAACCGTGATCCTTACATCTCAGCCTCCTGAGTAGCCAGGATCACAGGCATGAACCACTGGCGCCCGGCTGGACCTCAATTTTCTTATGGATGAATCCCTAGTAGCTAGGATAACAGGTGTGAACCACTATACCCAGCTTTTTATTGGTTGAGATGGGGTCTTGCTAATTTCTTGCTTAGGCTTGAACCACTATCCCCTGCTTGTGTGAGCTGCCAAGCATCTCATTCTTCCCTCTTCTCTCAGCGGAAGCAGGAATTCATGTCAACACCTGCTTTAGCTTCATGACTCCAGAATCTACCAGGTTGCTAGCTCAGTCTCTGGAACCTTCTTTTCACTTGCCCTTCCCCATGGGCTCCTTGGCCTTTTATCTATTTATTATTGATATTTACTTATGATTTGTGGGTAATGGCCCTGAGTACCCACTTCCTCCCTTTGCAAACTTGTGGTCTGTATAATTCCCTAATTGGTGCAGAGCTTGGAATTCTTCTTACCACAAAGCCCCAGGTATCCATCCGCCAGGGAAATGTGTTTATTCTCTCCAGGTTAGGCAGTGGACTTGACCTTCATTCTCATTGGGGGATCCCATGTGATCTGGGGATGGAGGAGCCCCACTGGGCCCAGGCCTGGTACTGCCAGGCTTGGGGGGCCTTTGGCCTCTACTCTTGGGGACACCCCCCCAGCTCTTCACCTGCATCCAAAGCTGGGATGGGGAAACAAGGCCGGGACTAGGCATGATCAGCCACGGGCTGGTTCTAGTGCCCAATGGGCGGCAGCCTGGCCCACAAGACCCCCCTCCCCCACCCCAGCTCTCTTCCCCAGATGGCTCCAATTAAAGGGCTTTTGTTTTGTTTCCATTTTCCCAAAATAAGCCTCCAGTTTGGAGCTCCCTGGGCTTGGTAAGTGCCGGATGTGGGCTGGAGTGGTTTTACGAGCATGCGGGGTGGATCCTGACAGGCTTCGGGACCCAGCTGGTGGGGGGCCAGGTGACAGGGCTTTGGCGCTGCTGAGCCTCCGTGGGCATGGATGACCCAGGAGGTGAATGCTGGGAGCAGCAGGCTGCCCCTCCCCGACTCCAGAGAAGTCCTTTCTATCTGGGGACCCTGGCAGCTGGCTCCGTTCTGCAACTTTGGGGGCTTGAGGTCAAGTGGGGACTCAGCTATTCCTTCTCTCTCTCTCTCTCTCTCTCTCTCTCTCTCTCGTTGAACCCAGGGCCTGCCCTGTGTCAGCAGTGCTCTACCACTTGAACTACGCCCCCCTCCTGCCCAGCCCTTTGAGTTCTGCTGAGATGGGGCCCTCCCTAACTTTACTAGGCTTGCCTGGAACCCCGATCTCCTGTCTCCATCTCCCAAGCAGCTGGAATTAACAGGCATGTGTGGCCGCACCTGGCTGAGTCTCAGCTGTTTCTGCATGGAGTCTGGGGATCTTTTCTCCTTCCCAAGCTTTACATTCCCCATCTGTGAAACGCGTTGTGGCTCTGCTTGGGTCTCTGGTGGGCAGCGCACAGAAAGCACTCAGCAGCTGCTGGACACACAGTAGGTACTCAGCCCCACAGGGTGAATCGGGATGCTTGGGAGCCAAGTAAATGTGGGAACAGTGTTCCAGGCAGAGGATGGAACAGCATACTGGATGTCAGGAGAGGAGGAGGAAACGCCCAAGCAGCAGCATTCCACACTTAGCAATCAAGAGGGGTGATGGATGACACTTTGGACCAGGCTTCCTGCCCGGACACACCTGTCTGCCTTATCCTCGCGGCTTATCGGCCCCTGGAGTTTGGGGGGGTCAGGGCTATGGCTGTGGATTTGATCCTCACCGTTTAGAAGTTGAGGTGGCTTACTGATGGCTCAGGCCTGTAATCCTATCTACTTAGGAAGCTGAGATCTAAGGATCACGGTTCAAAGCCAGCAGGGAAGTCCGTGAGACTTGAACCTCCGATGAACCACCAAAATGTTGGAAGTGGAGCTGTGCTCAAGTGGTACAGTGCTAGCCTTGAGTGAAAAGGCTGAGGGACAGAGATAGATAGATAGATAGATAGATAGATAGATAGATGTGGGCTGTTTCTCTCTCATCCTCTGGCAGGAACTTCTGCATCATCTGAGCCCCGGGTGCAGCCTTCTTGACCCTTCTAATCCCCACGAACCATGGCCCCGGGGCACTGTGATGTCTCTGCGCCTCTCTCACCCCCCTGGCGTGGCAAGGAAGGAGAAGCAGTAACGATTGCCAGCGCGTGATGGGCTTTGTTCGCATGAAACCCGGTGACAGCCTTTTTCCAACGGTGCCTCTCGCTGCCAACTACCTTTTAAGTGGCTGCCAGCTCCCGCCCCAGAGGTGTCTGGCTGTTGTGTGTTTACCACACAGTACATCCCAGCCAACTTCCTGCAGCCTGTGCTGGCAGCTTCCGAGAGGCGCGTCTGGGCACCCCGATCCCGCACTGTGGGTGTCACGTGCTTCCTTTTAGAACACTAGGAGCCAGGGTGCCAAAGCTATGCTTCCAGAACTCCAAAAAACATCTTAAAACAGAACATGGCAAGGCGGATGCCTTTTTTTTTAAATTATTTTGTAAAATTGTGTTTTCTCCAGATTTAAATTAGAACAAGCTTCTTGAGAGAAAATTGGGGAAAATACAGAAAAACTGCAAAGGGAGGAGAAGCTGCTGATGGCCCTGACGGATAAACACACTACCCACTGGAGGGCTCGCGCTTCCCTTGTCCTTCTTTAACTAAATCAGACATTTATTTCCCAAAAAATACTCTTTCAAACTTTTGTTTCTCTCAAGTTTTAATGACTAGTGACTTTCAAATGCTAAAAATAAAATCGAGCGTCATTAGCTTTGAACTTGAACTCAGGCTAGCCACTCACTCAACTACTTTTCTATCACTTTGCTCTAGTTCGTTTTCAGGTAGGGTCCATACTCCCTCCCCCTTGCCCTTGGGAGCCTGGACCTGCCACTCTGACAGCTGGCTTATGGAGTTTTGTTAACTTTTGGCAATTCTCCAGATCTCTGTCTCCCAAGTAGCCAGGATTACAGGCATGAGCCACGATGCTCAGCTGACTTCTTAGGGATCTGGGAATATACAATCCGTATTCTACACATAGAATCCTGTCCTTTTCTTTTTTCTCTCAACGTTTGACTGCAGCTTTTCTCATATAGTGAACTGTCTTGGTGGCTTCAGGCATTGTGAGAATTTATATCCTGTCATTTCTTCAGCTTTTCCCACACGGTCCTAATTTTTCCTTGGGTACACAGCGTCTTGTGTAGTTCTCGTGTGAATCCCCCCAGGCAAGGCTCCTCTATCCGAGGCTGGGAAGGCTTTTGTGACTTCTCATCCACGACACCAAGCAGCCTCCCCAAAGGACCAATAGATTTATGTGTCTACCCTTGCTCTTTATTGTGGTCAAATGCACCCACAGACTCCTTTTAAGTTGGCATTCGGTGTCATGGAGCACATTCATGCTGTGCAACCTTGGCTGCCCTCCAGCCACAGGCTTTGCCTCTTGAGAAATGGAAATCTGCCCCCTCTAAACACTGACTCCTGTGGAGGGTCTCCAGGGAGACTCTGTGGCCACTATCAGCCACCTCCATCCCCCTAAAGCTTTGTCCTGACCCCCTAGGCCCTGGCAACCACTAGGTCACTTTTGTGGTCCTTGGTGACTCTGTCCTGGCATTCAGTGTGGCCATGAATGGCCGTGTGGTCTCTGGTTGGCTTTTGCCTTGCCAGAATGCTTTCTTCCGAAGCCTGAGAAATAAGGTGGGGGTCGAGGGGAGGGGGAGTTTCTGGCTGTGGCCACAAAGGACTGTAGGTGGGTAGGGGGCCCCAGCTTTGGCCACAAAGGACTATGGGTAGGGAGCCCTGACTGTGGCCACAAAGGACTGTGGGTAGGGGGCTATGCAAGATCCCTTTCCCTGCAGTGGCTGAGCTGCTGTTTAGTGTGTGGAAGGCTGCACTGGACGCTGTGATGCTAGTCTAGACCTGTGTTGGGAAATCTGTATCCAGAAAGAAGTTAGAAGCTTGGGAAGATGAGGGGTACAGAGATTTTTGTTAGGGCTGGGGAAGCATGGAGAGGGGTCCGTGGTCATTGTAAGGGAGTCCGGGTAAAGGCACAGGTGGAAGGGTGGGCTTGGTTGGGCTGTGGTAAAAGACAACTTTCTAAAGGTAGAACAGCTTTTCCCACATGTGATCACATCCCATTGCTAGAGATATTTGGCAGTACCAAAGCTCTTTACTCCAGGCTGGCACACTACCACTTGAGACCCTAGCTCTTAAGACCCGCCTCTAACACTAGAGCCACGCCCCTAGCTCTTAGGACACGCCCCTAACACTTGAGCCACACCCCTACCTCTTAGGGCACGCCTCTAACGCTTGAGCCACGCCCAGCTCCTAAGCTGCTCTATCTTGTCCACTGGTACTTGAGCTATGCCCTAGCACTACGAGATTCAAGCCCCTGAGCAGTAAGCCACGCCCACGACACTTAAGCCACACCCCGACACTCGAGCCACGCCCCCGCGGGAGTAAACCACGCCCCGTGGGCCACGCCCACTGGAGCTCCTTGGGCAGAAAGCAGAGGCTGCGGTGTGGTGCCGTGCGGGTTCCGCGCGGTGTCGCCGGGCCGGGCCAGCCCCCAGCTGGCCTCACCAGCCCGCGGCCGCGCCTGAGCTCCTGGCAGCCTCCCATCGCGCTGCCCCGGGTCCGGGATGGCCGCTCGCCCTTCCTTCCGTAACATGGGCCCACACCCCTGGTTGCAGGGAAGGCCTACGAGATCACCTACGTGAGGCTCAAGTTCCACACCAGCCGCCCCGAGAGCTTCGCCATCTACAAGCGCAGCCGCGCGGGCGGCCCCTGGGAGCCCTACCAGTACTACAGCGCCTCCTGCCAGAGGACCTACGGCCGGCCCGAGGGCCAGCGCCTGCGGCCCGGCCAGGACGAGCGTGTGGCCTTCTGCACCTCCGAGTTTAGCGACATCTCCCCGCTCAGCGGCGGCAACGTGGCCTTCTCCACCCTGGAGGGCCGGCCCAGTGCCTACAACTTCGAGGAGAGCCCCGGGCTGCAGGTCAGAGAGGCGGCCTTGGGGGTGGCCAGGGCCGGGTGGCCGGGCTGGGGACAGCCAGAGCATCAACCCTGGCAGGGCCCCCGAGCCCTGATGATCTTACGGTTTGCATGCCTCAGGCCTTCCAGGCTTAAATCTTCTCCGAATGGTTAGTCGTGGATAGATGGAAGCCAGCAGGTGTGGTGGTTGGTGCATGGCTGTAATCCCAGCACTCACTGGGGAAGCTGAGGCAGAAGGATTTTCCTGTCAGGGCTGGTTTCCAGTCTCCGTCCTCACATCTCAGCCTCTTGACTAGCTAGGATTACAGGGGTGAGCCACCGGCACCGGCCTAAAACTGGGAGACTTATCTCTCATTAATCAGCAAAAGGCTAAAAATGGAGCTATGGCTCAAGTAGTAGAGGGCTATCCGTGAGAGAAAAATCTAAAGGACAGTGCTCAGGCTCCAGTATCAGCCCAAAAGAAGAGAGAGGGAAGAGGGAGAGAGACTGCTTCAAGGGCTGATCAGGCAAGGAGGTGTGTGTGCCTTTTCCCAGCTCCCCTGGCCTCTCTTTACATGGGGGGAGCGGGAAGGAGGCCTAGGCCCCTCCCCCAGCTGGAAATGTTTCTAGAACTTTCTGCAGTGGGACAGCCTCCATGTGCCTTCTGGGCTTTTAGGAGGGTCAGCTGGCAAGGACCAAAGCCATCAAGTCCTGTAATGAAGGACTCGTAGTTATAGAGTACCTGGAAGGGGACTGGTGGGCTGAATTTACCATCTGACTTTGTTTCCCTGATATCTCACACCAGTAGGCACCTGTGGCTTACTAAGAGAGCCGCACAGCTGCACAGAGTAGAAGGGGGCTTGTCTCTACTTTGGGGTTTTGGCAGTACTGAGATTTGAACTCAGAACCTTGTGCTTGGTAGGCAGATGCTCTACTGCTCAGCCACGCCCCCCCCCAGCCCTCAATACCACTTTGGAGATCAGCTCTGGTCCTCATGACAGCAGTATGGGTCCCCCCCCAACCATCCCCCCAAACCCCACACCCTGGGTTTGTGGCCTTGGGTTTGGGTCCAGACAGGCCTCAGTCACACGGTCAGAGCCTCCAGCCGGGACATCAAGTGGTTCACATTCTCTGGGCGACACTGATGGCACACAGGTAGCGGGATGATTCTTGGGGGCCTGGGGGCTTCCAGGCTGGGGGCTGCTGCGAGGTAAAGCCCTCACACAGCATGCAGGGGACTCTGGGCTGACCGAAGCGCTGCAGAAAGCCAAATGGAATGTGCCAGTGTCACCCGCAGCTTCTCGGCGAGAACCTGCACTTACCCGCTCTCCCAAGGTGCCGTGACCTTTGCAGAGCCGGCCTTGGGTGAGCACAGGAGTGACAGCCGCACAGGGCTGCGCGCAAAGCCCGGCCAGGCCTGCGTCATGCTGCGATGAGAAGACAGACTGGGCCAGGAGCTCATTTTCTGTCCTGATGGCCTGATTGCTTAGCCAGGGGCTCCTGGGCTGAATTAAAATGCTGATTAATATTCAGCCGGAGCTGGCTCTGATTATAACAGCAGGCAGATGGAAATGTCAGCCTGCACGTGGGCCCTCACTTCCTCACCACGCTCTTCCACGAGGAAGTGGCTCAGCCAGCCCTCAGCAAGTATTTACCAAGTACCTGGTGTGTGCCAGGCAGTGCTGGGGTGCGGGAGGCGGCCGCAGTCAGAACAAGGGCTCCAAGGCCTCCCTGGGCCAGGCTTGCCTGCTGCTGAGACACCTGGGCCACGGCACTCGGAGCAATGAGGGTGTGGGCCCCAGAGGTTGGAGATCGCAGCTCCCCTACTGCTTCCCGGAGCAGGTGGCAGGCCCTGCCAGACGCTGGCGTCACCACCCCCCTCACCACCCTGCACCCTCGTGGTACTGACACTGTCCCTGTCCCAGCTCACTGCTGGGGAAAGGGAGGCACCAAGACATGGAGCCACATCCCCAAAGTGGCAAGCAGCCCCTCCCAGGCCAGCATGACCCAGAGGCCTGGTTCCTTGCCACCGGGAGCCCACCCCAGGGACACCAGGCTGGCAGCAGAGCCTGGGGCACCTGCTGAGGGCACCGGGTCCTGTTCCCTAGGACTGGGTCACCAGCACGGAGCTCCTCATCTCCCTAGACCGGCTCAACACGTTTGGGGATGACATATTCAAGGACCCCAAGGTTCTCCAGTCCTACTACTATGCAGTGTCTGACTTCTCCGTGGGCGGCAGGTACTCTGGGTGGAACCCAGGGGTGGGGTGGAGTCTGGGTAGAGGGCGGGGCAGATGGGGGTGGAGCCCAGAGCGGAAGGAATAGCTGGTGGCCCAGCCAGAGCTGGAGAGGCAAGACCCTGGTCCTCAGCTCCCAGCTTCTTTCTGCCTTCCCAGTCCACCGCCACTGAGTTCCCACGTCAGTCTGTTCCCACACTGAGCCTCACCCAATGCAGGGGGCCTTTGTGCCTTCTCTTCCCTCTGCCTAGGGGTCGTTCCTCCTCCTGGATCTCTTAGCCCCAGAGCTAGCCACCAGCAGCCACCCTGTCCCCCTCCTGGGGTCTCAGACCGTCTCTGCAGGGAATCCAAGTGCCCTATGATAGATGGTCTCTCCATGGTCTACTGTGGCCAAGGAGGGGGGGAGGGTCCCTTCTGTCTCTGGGCTCCCAGAGCCTGGTCGGAGCAGTGGAAAGAAACAGGCAAGGAGGAGGCTCAGTTTCCTTCTTTGAAAGGTGAAAAGACCATGTTCCCACCCCAGGTCCAGTAGGGCAGCCTGCAGGAATCCAGTTGCTCCCAATAAACCCATCAGTACCCCCCACCCCCACCCCAGTACGAAAGGACAGGAAGAGCCCGCACCAGTGACTCATGCCTGTAATCCTAGCTAAACTGTGAGACTCTTTTTTTTTAGGGGGAAGGGGGGTCTGGTTGTGGGGCCTGAACTCTGGGCCTGGACGCTGTCCTTCAGCTCTTCAGCTGAAGGCTAGCGCTCTACCACTTGAGCCACAGAGCTACTTCTGGCTTTTTTCTTTTTGCTTATGTGGTGCTGGGGACTGGAACCCAGGGCCTCATGCATGCAAGGCAAGTGCTCTACCACTGAGCCACCTTTCCAGCCCAACTGTGAGACTCTTATCTCCAATGAACCAGCAAAAAGCTGGAAATAGAGCTGTGGCTCAAGTGGTAGACCACTAGCCTTGATCAAAAAAGCTCAGGGTCAGCACCCAGTCCTGAGTGTAAGCTCCAGGACAGATGTGCATGCACGCACGCACACACACACACACACACACACACACACACACACACACGACAGAAGAAGATCAGCATTCTAAAGCCAGGGAACAGCTCTACAGAAGGGCTGGAGAGGGGTGGGGGAGACTATAAGGGGTCCAGGCAAAGCCCCAGCCAGTGGGAGACCAGGCTGGAGAGAGGGCCAGGGCCACAGGTTCCAAGGGTTCCTCTCCTGTGGTCAGTGAGAAACTGAGGCACGCAGCCCTGGCCAGCCACGGGGGAGTTGGCTTGGGCCGTGGGGGGGGTGGCCCTGAGAGCAGTTCAAGACAGAAAAGCAGCCTGTCATGGGGGGGTGGGGGCAGGTAGGCAGTGAGACAGTGCCCAACCATGGACTCAGGACGCTGAGAGGTGGGGAGAGGCTGTGGCCCCGCTGCTGTCCCAGCCCCGGTGGACCTGGCTGGAGCAGGCTCTGTGAGGATCCCCAGCGCCTGAGAACATCTGGGCCCCAGCTGCCGGGACCAGACCACCCTCAGACCACAGCTGGTAGGAAGTCCGTGCCCCAAGCTGGAGGCCACAGGGGCCACTCTGGACGGGGATGGCGGCCAAGGAGGGCCAGGCTGTGCCACGCATGCCGTGTCACCGCCACATTCCTGCCCCACTCCACCCATTGCTTCATCCTGCAGGTGACAGGGACACAGACCAGGGTTGCCCTCAAAAGCACAGATTTAATAGGCACCAGTGG